AGAATCTACAATGTAAATAGTCATGAAAATAAAGAAAACGCATTGAATGAGAAGGTGTGTCCAAACTTTTGGCCTGTACTGTATATGTAGAATAATTTAAGGAGCTCTATGTGACATTCAGAGTATATTACTCAGTCTGAGATGGGATTGCCTGCACATGGTTCCAATATGGAGGTGGCTGAGTCGGTGGCTAGCAGTTAATGGTGCCAACAGTGGGAACAGTGCTAACAAAGGAAGTAGTGCTGACAAAGCGAATGCCTGCCACTGTGGGCCAGGATGACACTGTCAGCAGTTACCTCCATATGAGCTCAGTGCAGAGCAGCAGCGATAAGCTTGCCAGTGGGATACACACGAGGCCCCCAGGAAAGCCACTCACCCTTACAGTAAATTTTCCCCAGTGGCCATTCATGGTATTGCAGCAAAAAAATACCCTGCTGCCCAGAAAGCATTTTCCCCATAGGCCAACATTGTAAAAGACACGTTTGTAAAACTGCTGACAGAACACCTGGAACTCTAAATGAGGTCAGTTAAGAATCTTTTTATTCTGAATTTTTGAGCCATGGTGGTTTTATATTATGTAAAACTTTCCTCAAACTGAGAAAAGCAATTTAAAAATCCATGACATTATCACAATGTAAAGTCTGTAAGGTGAGCGGGAACTCAGCGGGAAGCCCTGACCTGTTGTTGCATAGCTGGTCAGTTGCTTTGTGTGTGCCACACAGAACCATGCCATTACCATTGTCTGTTTGTTTTTGTTGTATATCTTTGTGTCTGTGGGTGGAATGGAGGGGCAGGGGCTTTAATGTTATATGTGTTGCCCTATCAGAGTTTCTGTATATTGTTTTACTATAAATAAGGAAAATAAAAAAGAAAAACTTAGTAAAAATGCTCTCAGGTAGACAATCTATGTAACAGAGACACTGTTTCTACATGACCTTAAATATATTTTTGGCATTACTATACAGGGTATACATTGATACTGACATATCAGCAATAATCTAATGTCTGCTGATAATATCGCCCATGTTAATTCATCATCAGACTCTACTCTGCACTGACAACTTTCATCACTGTCTTACGTCTTTGTGCAGTTTTCATAGTGACAAGTGAAAATGTAAACCTCAATATCTATAAATCACACAAAGCAAGTATAAAATTAGGTAACAGAAGCACAAACACCCATATGTAAGTACAGCCAAAGCTTTTTTACAACAAAGGGGAACAAAGAGAAGTAAAGAAATGATAAGTAGTGAGTCTGACTATCTCTATGCAGGTTGTCCACTTGCTGTGAGTTAAGGGAGGATGTGTATTTCAATTTAAAATGACAAGTCAAATTCTGTGAGCAGAGACGTGCCAGAAATTTATTTGGGCAAACTGGAAAAACATGAAGATTCCTAATTAGGGGACTGAAGATACTTATTTTGTAATTAATGCAGATAAGAGCAGTGTAATTTCCCATTAATGTAATACCTTCTACAATGTTAACAGCGTATATGTGCTGAACATGTATCAGGACAAAAGAAGATGAACGCTGAACTTGAATTTCAAGGAGAAGATGAAGAAATGAGAAAGTGAGGAGAAGAATTGTTTGAAAGAGTGTGAAAGAGAGGGAGCACAGGACAGCCTGCATTAATGAGAGAGACAGAGAGAGTCATTAAAATCAATGCAAACCAAGAGTGAAAAAGACAGTGCCCTTGACACAGTCACTTTGGTTCACTGCAGCTCTACAGCAGAATCCCATCAGACTCCAGTTACAGCTAACCAACATTTCATGTAATCTGAAACAGCTCTCACACTGAAATCCAAAACACTGACTGTTCATCAGAAATGTATCTTGAGAGCACCATAACTCTTCAGAGTGAATGAGAGAGCGAAAGACATGAATGAAGCCTCTCATGAACAACTGGAAGAGATGAATAAATTGCCAGTACACCAAAACAAAACAGAGACTATAAATCAATTGCTTACAGAAAGTTGGCACCAGATCTTGGATCAAATATTGGACTTGTTGCTAAAAGTGATTAAGTTAAGACGCTTTAACAGAAATTCTCAGTTTCTAATCTGAGTAATGATAACAAGTCCTCCTCACTCCACATAACATCACCTCAGGTGCAAAATAACAAGTGCAATCTGTACTTTACAGCTTCTCTGACATCTCTGCGATGTGACAAGAATAATCCCAGCCGCACATCTGTCACACACTGCTGGATAACAACTGTTGACTCCCTGGCTGTTGTTCTCGACTTTACTTTGACCTGTGGCAGCTTTTGAAAACAGCACTGTGTTTATGTGAACCACTTTTAGCAACTAACGGGATTTGGGGCGACTTGAAAAGTTCATTTAGCGCCGCTCAGTTCATTGTGGAGGGCGCACAGATCCAAAGCATCCTCCACAAGCTGTCACATGGCTCCAACACGGCCACTTGACCATAATATGAGACCAAACATAGTCAACCATTTTTCGGAGAACTGGCAGCAACTCGTTTCCCAGTGGATTTGACTGTTGCTGCCATTATAATCACCTAAAACAAGCGCTCACAGTGTTCATGCACAATCCGTGACCTAAATTAAGTTGGGAATAAATCCTGAGCGCAGACAGGACTCAGAGCATATAATGACATAGAATAAACACACATCCAGAGAATAAACCAAACCAGCGCTCTCGCCCCCTCTCTCTTGTGTCTCTCCCTCGCGCAGCGCTCCAACTCTCCTCCTGCGCTCCACGCACCGTTTTTACCTTCAGACTGTTCATCTGCTTCTTGCATCCTCGAATCCACATTGAAAAGATCCGTTTTAAATCCAACTCATCGTTGGAAGAAAAACAGCCCAAAATGTCGACGCGCGAGCCCGGACGGAGCCGTCAACCTGAATTATAAAATGTTTTCCGACCGCAAACCCTGAGAGGAGCGCCAAACATTTTCGCCACATCCGGGTGCCTGGCTGCAGATTCACGGCGGATCCGAGGGGACGCGCTGACAGCAGCAGTCAATCCACTGCTGTCAATTATTCCCACTGAGTCTGGGGATGGACAGATACGAGTTAGAGCAAGTGGCTATACTGGAATCACATGCAAACTGGATGTGCACCTGTTGCTGCCCACTAAACGTCAAGCGCGCGTTTTGAACATCTCGACCTCAGAATGAAGTCTGGCAGGATTGCCAAATGTTTACAGGCAGACAAATCTTACTATTTATTTATTTAAAAAAACAAACATAGCCTATAATTTGAATTATTTCCATGTTTACAAAAACATAATAACAGCAGTCACAAATAACGTGGATGTTATGTGAATGGGGACAAGAACTCCATCTTTAAAAACTGGGGAGAAGCCAACAAGAAGTCAATCTGTTACTAATAAGATGTAGTTATAAATCGTATTAACAGTGTTTCTATAGGCTGAGTTAAGCAGCATGTGACACAGTGACACAACAAACACAGAGTTAACAAATAAAGGCCTCGTCAACTAAAGTTTGGTCCCTGAAAATGAAGCCTTACAGGCGACGGGTCTGTTCGCATTCAATGTACAAGACCAAAAACAATGAAAAAAATGTGTTGAATCTGCCAAATCTATATTTCTGTCCACGTTTCAGTTCAAAGCTTTACATGCAGCCACATCACACGACTCATTATGATGCTGAAGAAACAATTCGGAAAAGTAACAGTCTGTCTGACTTTCCCCTGCCAGTGTAGTTTAGCAGGATAAACACCATGCCCTCATCCTCTCCATTAAGCCCTACATTGCTGTATCCCAGGTCCTTTGACTTACCCCTCAGGGGTCTTCCCCTTATAATGAACGGCATTCTGTCACCTGGCTCTTCTCTGGGGCCTCATAGCGCCGTTTTCTGCCCTCACTCCGCGGCGATTCGAGAGGAAATGAGTTGTCGGAGCTGTGCTGGAAGGTTACCAGTGATTGGATTACCTGTGCCTGTATGGAGGATAACAGTTTCACGGTAGCGCGTAATCCTCCGATTATAATCCCTGCTCCGATGTTCCCTCAACGGAGGCAGGTGATGCAGGCAGCTGCAGGTCAGTTTGACCAAATAACCGGGCAGAGAATTGAATGTTTTTTCTTTCAACTTTAATATATGATGGTTTTAAAGCATTTCATCCAAATAATTATAATGAATATGGGCTACAGCATTGGGGGCACTTCAATGATTTACTGAGTTCTTTCATATATATTTTTTTGTCACAAGGCCCACCTGTGTGACATTTTGGTTAGGCTGCGTTAAATTAAAAAGTCAAGAATTAAAATAACAACAGAGATCTTGTGAATTCAAACAGCGGGTTCACTGTGAATAAAACCCAAACTGCATAAAGGTTCCCAGAGAGACGAGACCCAAACATTAGTATTGCAGCGCAGCCCTGTGGTGTTTTCATCACATGAAGATACTGCCAATGTTTTTTTTTTCAACAGATACATAGCCTTTAATTCTTAGAAACATTATATCAGTCTGTAATTTTTATTATTGTGTATTCAACACAACTATATCCTATGTCTACGGTGCCGTGATTGTCACCTTAATTAATGAGCCTACATTTTGTTTCTGAGTCGTGCAGATTTATTTTTGTTAAATTTCATTTACTTTAATTTAATTTGATTTGATTTAATTTGATTAAATTTAATTCAATTTAATTGAAAAGGTACACATGCTGAATCGCAAAATAGTTGGCCATATCATTGCCTATTATTGTTAGGTATTTACCTTGAAACAAATAATATTTTTAATCATTAATTTTATTTATTTTGTTTATTTGTAATATAAACCGTTTGATTTTGAAAAGCACACTGGCTAAGACTAAGCTCATCAGGCTGCCCACCATTTCCTGCAAACATTTCGTTTTTAAGCGGCACTCAAACAAATTGGGAATGACCTATTTTACGTTTCAGACTAATCTCTGCAGAATAAACAAATCTCTCGGAAACTTTCTGAGAGCGGTCATTTCCGGGGACAGCGGAAGTTATAAGTGTGTCTCCAGAAATCTGTCCGTGCGGGAGCAACAATCACATCCAAGATGGAGACCGTAAATGCTGGTCAAATGATGAGCTTAGCTGCTCTACAGCGACAAGACCCGTACATAAACAAACTTCTCGATGTTACCGGCCAAGTGGCTCTCTACAACTTCAACTCCAAAGCGAACGAATGGGTAAGTCTGTCAAAAGACCCGGAACAGTTTCGGGATAGCCGTCAAAAGTATGCTAAGTATTCACTTAGCATGCTAATGCTAGCTCCTTGATAAAAACATTGGAAAACACTGAGGAAATTGTTAGTATTTGTCAAACTGTAACTTAAACAGACATGTTCACCGACATACGTATTTGATATCAGTGTCATTATATTAGTGTTCCCAATATCTTTTTGTCCCTAAGTTAGCGCTACCTTACCTGAGCTAACGTAAGTTAGCTAGTGACGCCAACAGTCAGCGGCCGTTTCTATTATTCAGCATGTTTTGATTAACGGCTCTTTTTTCAACATGTAACGTCACTTATCATTTTAGGAGAAGACCGAAATCGAGGGCACCCTGTTTGTTTATGCAAGGTAAGCAAATAAAGTGTTGTTTATGTTTATTATTTATCACGACAACGATGAAGGTTGTTTACTTGTTCAGAGTTTCTTGGCGCTGCTATCTGACGTATCCTGCGCACGTGTTTAGGCCGCAGTCCTTGTAAACAAACATTTTCTATGGTTCATGTAGAGATGCAGAATATCTTATTGCCTCTGGTGTGTTTGCTTCTTATTACAGCCCTATGCACACAATTTTTATGTATTAGACTGAGTGTGATTGTAAATGCTCATAGTTTCGACACTGAAAGAATATTATGTGTTTAGAAAGAAAAGGCACTTGTCTTTTATTTTGTTTAAGTCTTCTGTTGCACTAAATAATAAATATTTTCTAGGTAATATCTTTCAAGTGTGAAGATTTGTTTGGCTCTCTCTTCATATTCCAAGTTTTTTGGCTTGGTTACACCAAATAAGCAACTTTAAGACATCAGCCATAGCTCTGATAACTTATGATGGCCATATGTCAGTTTTTTTGTTTTTAACTTCTAAGACAAATCAATCTATCATTTAATTATAAAACAAATTAATTGATCAATCAATAATGAAAATATCTGACATTCTACTTACTGTTTACTGAGGGGTCATCTTTTTCTTTCACCATCAAACACTTTTGTATTATTAGTTACCAGGAAATGTAAATAAATTTTTTAACATGATGTATTTATTCATATAAGATCACTTTGCATTTCAATAAATTCATTGATTATATCATATTTTAAAGTCATGCAAATAATAGTAAAAAAGTTGCTAGTTTTTGGTCATGAAAAAAGTAAGATTTTGAACTTTTACTGAATAGAGTGTACAAGGTGTTGTTCAGTGTGATCAGGAAGGTGATGGTTATGTTTTATACTGCCAGAGTATTATCTTACAGTGTTTGCAATCTTTATTCAACTAAGGTCTGCCTCGCCTCACCACGGCTTCACCATCATGAACCGACTGAGCACAGAGAACCTGGTGGAGCCGATCAACAAAGACCTGGAGTTCCAGCTGCAAGATCCCTTCCTGCTCTATAGGAACGGCAACTGTGAGTGTTTTGTAGAATAGAAGCCTTGAAAAAGTAGATATCATACGCAGTACAGACATAGTGTACTCTGTGTCAGGGTGGATTCAGATTAGATGTAATCAGAGATTTAATGACTGGGATACAATATTCTGGGTTCTTCATTGTTTCTTGAGGAGTTAAGGGCCACTATTCCAATGTACATAGCTGCAGGTGAGCCCCACTTAATTTTAAGAATCTGCATGATGAGAAATATGAGATGTTGTCCCAGCAAAAATGCTGATCAAGCTTTTGTCGTCACAACATTACAAATGCTGTGCAAAATGTCAGAAATCCTGTACTGTCTGTAGCAATATCATGTATTGGTTCATAGCTGCAGAATCTGTTTCTGTTACTCAACTACTATGAAACACTGCTGTATCACAAAAGATTCTGTCAAAGAAATGTACACACACTGCATACTTAGCAAGTAGACAGCTGTGTAGGTGTTGGTTACAGTCAGCATGGAAACACACAAATGGAACAGAACATAATGGTACCTCTGAAAATGCCGAACAAACAACTCCCCAGCGTTCTCCGGAACATCTCTTTTCCCTTTTGCTTGAAGTCATTTTGGCGTCTTGGAGGCGCATCAATCAAAAAAACCTCTTCCGAAGAGTTTTTTCCACTCATGGCCTCGCACAGGCCGAGCAGATGGCATCAGTTTCAGCTCGGTTTAGCGACAGTCAGTATCATTCTGCATTGGGACCACATCCAAAAGGACCTATCTGTCTGATTATAAATCTGACAAGTTTTTGATGTATTTTTGATGATAGAAGTTGTGCTTCTGCTGATGGTGTTATCCAGTGAGGTGCCAGTGCTGCGGTCAAACTCTTCTATCTTATATGGAAAGAGTTCTGTAAGAAGTAAGGTGAAAAAAAGGAGTGATGAAGTTCCTCAGATCTTGAGAAAGTAACTAACAGTGCTGCCTCCAAGGTAATCTATTATAAGTCTGAACAGGAGTTTCATCAATGCAACGAATAAGGATTTGGACTGTTTTCCCATTTGTTTGCTTATAAGGAAAAATAACATGGCCAGGGTCAATGTCAAAGTAGACTGCTCCCCTTTTGGACTGGGTTTGCCCATCAGACTGCCTGGTATGGAAGACATGATGAAGTTTCTTGTTAGTATTCAGACCAGAGCACCTTCTCCAGAAGCCTCACTTGAGTCCAAGTGCTGTTGTTTGCATTTTAATTCCTCAGAGTGGGTGAAGTTGCAGAACGACAGAAGTGGGTACAGTTGTTATGTAGAACACTGGTTGACAATATTCCTTGAGTTTTGCTGGAGGCAGTTCCAATCTCTGGCAGCTGTCAGTCACCTCTTGCCCTTCAGTAATGCACCTCACTGGCTGAGGATCCTTTTTGGTAGTTGTCACATATCACTTGGTTAGCATGTAGTGTCTTTCTTTGTGACTCCTGTGAGGGTGGAGTTGTTATGGAATAGATTTCAGGTTTCTGAGAGAGAGAGAGAGAGAGAGAGAGAGAGAGAGAGAGAGAGAGAGAGAGATCCTCAAGGTGGTTCTCAGACTCCTTCTGCTGTGAACCAGGAAGAGACAACAAAGGCTTAGTGGGAGCAACAAAGAAGTTTGATCGAAGAATCCAACACAGAGAGAAGCTGATTATAAAAATACACTTGTGTGTTGCTTCACTTTGAGTCCTGGTGAATTCCCAGTCTGAAATTCACAAGTGTACTCAAACTTGGAGAGTGCTTTTTAGAGAGACCAGTGTACTTAGACACACACACCTGTTTACACCTCTCCATATTCCCTTTGGTACCAGGAGATGCTACGGGGAGGTAAACACTCAGGTTGCTAGGTTACGTCAGTCTCTTGAGAGACTGTGAATACGCCAGTATTTCGTCACATACACACACACACACACAAATGACACACAAGCTGAGCCAAATTAACCAGTTATTGTTCCAGCAAAAACTGCTGACATACAGTTTGTTTTATTGTGCAACAAGTTGTCAGTTTTCTTTGGGTGATGGTGAACGTTGTGTTGGTCATCACTGTTTCATTTAGTGAGCCCGTTAACCTGTTTTTTTTTTTTTCCCAGCAAAAACTGTCTCTTACTTTAACATAGCTAATACAATTACACCATCAACTGTTTGACAGCCACCTAATTATCAAAAATAGGTTGAATACTTTCCCAGTCTTTTAGTTTCTTGATTTGTGTGATTTAAATGAGCACAGATGCTCCTCATTATAGTCACAGTGAAGGTTTTGTAAAGTGTTTTTGGAACTTGATAGAAATTATTGATTGTTTTTAAAACAAATATTTCATGCTGCATTGAGATTAAAAGTATATTATGCAGGATGTCTCTAACAAAAAACATTGTATAGACTCATAAAGGTAATTCTGCCCAAGCATCGCTTAATAATAATTTTGATAATGCATTCTATTTATAGACGCCTTTCAAAGCACTCAGGACACTAACAAAACACAGTTTAAAAAACAAAACAAGCAGCAACGATCCAAAGATAATAAAATCAAACAATTCCATAATATACAATAAAAGTTAATAAAAATGACTAGACAAAAATCATAATTATAAATATGAGGTATAAAATCATTATAAAGTCGTCATCAATGCAAGTCTGAATATGTGTGTCATCATTAAATCCCCATGAGAAGTGTGTGGCAATGCATTTATCTGCAGAGACTCTGGCCTCTGCTGATATTTTCTTATTTTCCCCTAATTTTGCTGTGGTCAGTCAGGATATTCCAGGGCACAGCACGTAGTTGAGGTCGAGATTGCTTGGAAAGTAAACCTTGAATAATATTGATAAATGCCATACAGTAGCAGGCCTGGGCAGTATTGTGTTTTCTGTTTTATTATCCAAAACTTACTTATAAACAAAATGTAAAACCTTACAATTAATTATTTTAGTTGATTTATAAAGTTTGTCTATGTGTGAGTAGTTTTGTCTGTTGTAATGCTGAAGTGTAATATACAGTATCCGTGTTCCTCTTGCAGTGGGTATCTACAGTATTTGGTTCTACGACAAGAGGGACTGTCAGCGAATCGCTCAGCTAATGGTCAAGTAAGTAGCCAGACATATGTATACTTTATCAGTGTTTTGATGGTATAGAACAGTACACTGTTAGCTTTTCAAAGTTTTTTTTCACGTATAGGTGTTAGCTTTAATAGCATCTCTACATTTATCACAAGGAGTATTTGAGTCCACATTTAACAAAGCAAATGATAGTTAAGTGTCTATATTTCCTGCTTTCACTCTCTCCCAGGATTGTGAAGCAAGAAGCAGACCATGCCCAGAGAGAGTCACCAGAGAAGGCAGAGCCGGGGAGGACCAATGGTGTCGCAGAACCACGGTCCATCGACATCCTGGAACTGCTCAGCAAAGCCAAGGAGGAATACCAGAGAGTGAGGAGGCGGACACACACATCACATGTTATTTGGGTTCTTAGATGAGCAAATGTGTTTTGCTTTTTATGTGTTTTTAGTCCTGGCACTGGGTATTTCTTAACTGTCATTGCAGTTTATACAAACAAAAAAATCAATTTGGATCACAGACTGCGTGTGACCTAAGGAAAAAATATAGCATCAGTAGTACTCCATCCATACCTCTTCAACACTGTGTGAAGCACCTTCACAGGTCTGCTGACTCAACAGAAACAGACTCATAAGTATGCATCTCTAAATCTGGGATTATTTCAAGTCGGGCATTGGGGAATGTGTGTGTGTTTTACAGGCACAGGCAGGTGAAACAGATGTATCTACAGAGCCTAATGTGAAAGCAGCTGTCAACACCACAGAGCATGTGCACAGCACACCTCTACCTGAAAAGGTACATACAGTACACAAACATGTACGCAAAGGTCTGATGTTTATTCATTTATCTGTACCATTTTATGTTGTGAGTGTTGTCATCCTGTTAAATCCTACATACAGAGACTGTGGAGGAGGGCAAAGAGATGGTGCATGTCTTTATCTCAGGTGTCACTGTCAGCCGTTTAGCATTTGGCAGCAGAAAGCTGCTGATAATGTAGGATGTAGTTGAAAGCAGACGGACACACTCCTCCAGCCTCCAGGTTTTATATCAGACGCAGGGCTGACACAAACAATTCTTCACAATTGAGATTGACATATAGGTGGGTTTATTTTGGGTCCAGCTCTCATTTAGCAAAATACTGCATTTGTAAAGCTCCAACACCAATGGATCCTTTTTAAAGCCATTATTTGACAATTAATGGTTGACATCTTACCCCCTAAGCTACGTGGGCTCCTGTCATTATTCCCTCTCCATATAATTATTTTTAAGATGAGTCAGATCTATTATTAACATTTTAGACCTATTAGGATCATTTGAGGTACATATTTGTACTCTGGGTTTCTACTAAAACTTGTTTATATGCTTTAATGTTCAAAAAAACACTTTTATTGTTCTCATTCTGTCAGTACTGAGCCATCTGTATTCACCTTCTGTCTGAAATGCTTCGTTTAGCGCCTGTCTCTTTAAGACCCACTCCCGAAAAGGCCCAGTCTGCTCTGATTGGTCATTGTTTCTTGGTCTTCCCCATGTCGGTGTACTGTCACTGCATTGGACGAATTGCTGTAACAGAGAATAGCAGCACTTTCTAATGCGATAAATCAAAGATAAGAGCTTCTAAATCCAGATTTTCCCTAGTGGACATTTCCCAGCAGAAATGTGATCCAAAATTGGTGCGGAATTTGCAACATCAGTTACCAAGTTGACATGTTTCCTGACGTTTGCATGTAGCAATGTATGTAATATATAAAGTTGTAGTAACATGCCTGCAGCAGATGACCATCGAAAGAAATCTGTTAGAAGCTGACATCACATTGTCTTGAAAGTAGAAAAATCGTTTACCTTGTTCTGAATATCCGACATTATATATGACAGAAAATAGGGAATAGCATAATAGGTTCCCTTTAGATTCCCAGAGTCCATTGGTGCATCCTCATATTGCTGGTTTTGTCAGTTTTTATACAGTAATCTGAAAGACCTCTTAAACTGCTGTACTTGATTTTTCTGTGTCAGCACTGCTTTGTATGGGTTTTGTATGATTTCCTCTGCAGCTCAGGTTTTTTCTTTTTACCCACCAGAGCTCTCATACAGTGGTGAAGCAGATCACAGTTGAGGAGCTCTTTGGCTCATCCCTCCCTAAGGACACCTCTCTACCCACAATGCCCTCACAGAACACCACCACTGCCTCCAGTGATCCCTCCACTGCTTACCTCCAGAACCAGTCTTATCCCCCTCCAGCCCACCAGAACCCACTCTTTCCTCCCCCTCTCGCAGCCCAAGACACTGGGTCGGGTCAGCGCCACCAAGTCCCCGGCTTGCTCCCAGCTCCATATGTGCTACACCCCAGCCCCGTTTTCCAGTCAGTGGTCCCCAGGTCAGATCCCCAACCTCGATGCTCAGTCTCCCCGCTCATGGTGCTTCCGCCTGGCTCAGAGCCTCGAGTTGCTCCCCCTGGTCCTGCAGCACCCCCAGCAGCTCCTACGACCTATTTGGGACAGGATATGCTCAGCGCCCTCAAAGCGCCAGTGCCATCTGTGAATTCAGACATCCACAAACCCATCCTCGCACCCAACTTCCTACCAAGCGCGCTGTTCCCACCCCACAGCTTCCAAGAACCCATGGGGAAACCCCTTCTCCAGCACAGCAAGGAGATGGATGTTTTCTCTCAGCCCCCAAACCTGATCAAATCCATGTCTGTGAGTTTTTTTCTTAGCAGCTGATTCTGTGGATCTCTTTGATGATGTTACCCTCATTAGTGTATTTTATGTCACATATACTTTTATACCACAATAAATCAGGTTATAATCCAGCATCTTGTTTGTTATAATGGCACTTCTTCTCCTTTGTCTCACTCCGTCTTCACGCTTTCTATTCTCAGGCTGTTCCCATGAGTCCAGGTCTTGCTGTTCCAGGGCAGTCGATGTCTGTACTTCTCTCCCCCAGCGCCTTCCAGCAGTCCATCAATAAGACAACAGCTGCAGCATTGGTGGTCCCTCCTGCCCCCTCTGAGCCCTCCTCCACCTCTGTAGGCACTTTAGAGCCTCCACAAGCAGCCTGCAGCAAAACACAGCTACAGGATACTCTGATACACCTCATTAAGGTAAACAAAGGGCATAAAATACATAAAAGCAGTACTGTTGGTTCTTTGGAGTGGAAAACCTTAGGGCTAAAGCTGTTTTCTATCACCATACCATTGCAATTTCAAAAGAAAAGGCTCTATTGTATAGTTAAAGGGTTAGTTCACCCAAATTACAAACAAGGAAAGCTAGTAAATACTCATTTCTGGTCTAAATTTAGGATATAGACCCAGGGACAACATTTTGTTGCTGTGCAATAGTTCCTGGTGGCAAAATAGTTAGTGTTTCAGAGCTATAACTCTCTGACCTGGCAGATCAGCGCTTCAGGGATAGTTTTGGGTTTGCTCGGAAGCCAACGGAGCTTCTTGGCCAGCTTCCTGGCTTCAGGGTGCTTCCACCTTCTGTCTGAAGTTGAACCCAGTGACTCTGAGGAGCTCTGATGCTGGCCTAAGAGCTCCATGACTGGTTTCCAAGCTTCTTGGCACTTTGGCCTCTCGTATAAACTTTGCATTCTCACACAGATGTGCTCTTGGGTTGCAATATTTTGGCACAGATGGATTTAACATGAATCAGCACTTGGGTAGTCATACCAATGTAATTCATCACCTTTACAAGTACAAAGTTTGGTACCCTATCCTACTACAGACCTCACTATCTACAGTTTTCATTGGAACGTGTTTCTGCCAAAGAAGTGGTTCCAAGAAAACAATCGACGGTGTTGTGTGAATAACGGAGACCCTGATTCTGAAAAGAGATGCTGCTGTTAAGATTAGAGTCTTAGTGTGAAAAGTCACACCTTCAAAAGAATTCAGATGTAGTAACAGTTTTACAGTTTTATGTTTCCAGTTAAAAGATTGAATTCCAATGAAAACTGTCATCTTATTGTGTAAACACACACACTCAGGTGTAGTTTGTTCATTCCTCTCTGTTCACTTCCTCCCATCTAGAACGATCCAGACTTCCTCAGTGCCATTCATGATGCTTACCTGCAGAGTCTCTCCAAGGACTTCAGCAACATAAAGCTATAGTCTGCTTCAACCATCACTACTATCACTCTCAGTGCTACGACCCCTTTGTGACTTTTGAAGAATCCAGACATTAATGGGAGATAGAAGAAGTGCAGGATAACAGGTTTTTGACACACTGTACACCACAACTCTACAAACTACTCTGTTTTATGGGGAAAATATAGCATGCAGCGTGCCGTTCAACCCTCTGATCTTCACTCCAAACTTGTTTTTTGAGTTCTCACCTGAACACTGACGCTGTCCTGGCTACTCACGTTAACTTGGATCGACTTTTTTGTCTGCTTTATTAAGCCAGAACTACTGTTGGGAGAGAAGCAAGGAGATAAAACTTGCCAGTGTGGCCTTGAGTTTTCATATTCACTTTATAAATATGATAAAACAGTTTGCCACGCACTGGTAAAGTTAAGCTGTTGCTGGTTTATTTCACTTGAGGACGGGACCAAAGCAGAGCTTCGGTGACCTCAGATCATTACACTCTTAACCTTTGGACAGATGATTGTGGAGCTTGAACAGTATGAGAATCACAGATGCTGCCTCTCTTACTCATATGTCTTTGGACTTCTCGCAGTGCGGGAGTATGGGAACAGAGAAAACAAGAGAAGAGAAAGACCTCTGTGCTGAGGACCTCAGAACTGTTTTGGGGGTCTTTGCAGACAGACTGTCTAACTGTGTGGCATTAAAAGGACTGCTCATTTTCGCTTTTTGACCTTCACCCTCAAAGCATTGCTAAGGCCTGTATTTTCCTGATAACACTGCAGAGATGGCGAACAATTTTTGTGGCATTTTGTTTTTGTCGGTGTCCTTTATTGAGGAGATTGTTGAGGTTTTTTTTTTTCCCCCCAACCCTTTTCCAAGGAAGAAAAAGAACTTCCGTTATTGTTTGGAGAAGCACTTGCAGCTAAATCTAAGAATCAGTTCCTCTCAGCTGCTCTTTTAATGTTACGTTACAGACTGCAAAGTGTTCATAAACACTACCCAGCTTCTTGCTACCTTTCTCCACATTTCTCTCTACCCTTGCTCTTTCTCTCTCTGTGTGTCTTTTTCCTCGTCTGTGTCGTTCATCTTTCCTCCACCAGCTGAGCTCAGTACTTGATGTTCTTGGAGAGGAACGTGCAATAGACGACAGTCGCTATGCCTTTAGAGATACCAGCATTTTGGGATACTTTAAGATGGTACAGTAGAACTAAATTTATTTGAACCACTGGGTTCTGGTTCTGCAACGATGTTGAATTTAAATATCACAAAAAACTAAACACAACTTGCTATTGATTTTTGGATCATGTTTACCTTCACACCTTAAATATAAAATAGAGAGCTGATATGCTTTTGATAGCTTCAGTAAGTTTCAAACCACTTGAGTTTCAACCTGTAATCCAAATTAATGATGAAAAATATAAACTACCTCTATTCCTGTCACTAAATTTATTTTTTCTGGCCACAGCTACGTCTCAAGTCACAAGACTGTGAAGACAAATTGAATTGTGGTACCTTGTCAGGCTTTTTTGCAGTAAAAGGCTACTGCAGTACAGAACCATTAACCCTGCAGAGCGCAGTAGGGAACAGGAAACAGCACATCTGTCTATTGATGCAGTTTGAGAACAAATAACTGATCTAATGTGCATCAGAAAATCAGTTTGAAAATAGTACAAAAAAATGCTTATTATGTGGCTTGGGTGTATTTTCCACCACACAACAGGTTACTAATAAGTTTCAATTGCCCTGTTGTCACAGAATGTTCAGCGCATACAAGACCATTAAAACTAAAAAGCATAAAAATTTAAGTTGTAGTTTTCTTGCAAATGGTACAGTGATGTTTGGCGTCAGTCAGCTCATGGATGATCAGGCTGCTTCTACACACGCTACTGTTCAGATGTCTGTAGTTCTCTAAGCATTCAATACGCAAAGTCATAGGAGACTTTTTTTTCCAGGTTTTGCAAACATGAATTGCTGAAAATTTGGAAATGACTCACAGGAGTGATATGAATTTCTGCATAAACACCTGTCTTGATTGTGATAACACAGCTCTTCATTTGATCTTGCTATTTGAATGTATTTGATTCTTTGCAATATGTATGTGCCAGTCTTGTTGTCTTCTGTGTCCTGCATATTTAAGTTGAACTCAGATCCACATGCTTTCAGTACCAACCAACAATGTTTTTCTTTCTCTTTTTTTAATTTGCAAAATCAAGATTCATAATGTGAAAAGAAAATGTCCACAGCCAGGGAGCAAATCAAATAATTTGTACCCTTCTTTGCCCTGTTGTTATTATTTTTTCATTTCGGAGGTCATGTTGCCAACACCACTGGCATGTGTTGGTTAAATAAACGCACACAGGAAAAATGACTGAAACCATAGACGTTTTTTAATCCCGGTCACATATTTAAGGTTTTATGATTATTTTAGGCGTTGGTATAATTTATCGTATCGGCCAGAGATTTGATTTTGGGAAAGTCTTTGCAGAAATTATATTAATTTTCCAAAATTGTTGCCACTGTACATAATTTGGTTTATTTTGACTATTTTGTGATATTAAAGAATTGAAAATAGAGTTGTCTGTTTTTGTTTGCTGCTGAGAGCAGCCGCTGTTTCTGTCAGCTGTGGAAATAAGATTTAAAGATTAAACTGGAAGTCAAGTCGAGGCATTCGTTATCATATGCACGGTAATAACAAGTTTCTCTGTACCATGAAATTCTTTTTTGTCTTGTAGCTTGAAATTAAACACAGTATAGAAGATGAAAAATATAAATATGACAACATAGAAAGTATTAAACAATATCAGAAGAGATAAAGTATCCAAATAGCACTATGTTTTAACCTGGACGATTGTGTGACTTGGAATTAACGTTTTTTAAAAAGGGTTCCCAAGTTACTTATTTTTCTGCCAGTGTTGTAAAAGAGCATGAATTAAGAGAAAATAATTCAGAGGTACAGGAGAAATGTGCAGTTTCTCTTTTGTACCACCAGATGTCACCAGGTGCTCACTGTTGATCTGTTGTACTCAATGATCTCTGGTTTTAACGCCATCAACATTAAATCGTAATCACTTGGTATCAGTCCCACCACGGGGTTATTTCATCGGAGAACTTGATCTGTGAGTCTTTCTGGGTGTAAGTGACAAAACAAAGTACAGAGATAATTGATTAACTAGATTGGCAAGGAAAATGTTATTATTTCCCCTTTTCAAACTCCCTCCTCAGGTACCCTGCTGGCCAAATGTGGATGTCAGTCTCAGCCAGTTGCAAGTGTCACCCAGCCTTTGGAAGCCTAAAGATTGCAAGTGAAAGGTCAGTCCTGTAAGATAAACCTTTTATGACTGTGTCAAACCCAAACAACACTTGGGAATTACCAATCTATCTGTCAGTCCTTATCTGAATGGTATGTGAGTGCATGTTGCAGGTGTAGCTGGTTTGTACTGCGGCTAATCAGGTCAGCTTCAGTGGGAAATGTCATTAAGGTAAGATTACAGTCATGTGTGATCCTTCCTTTTGGAAGCCACATTTCCTTCCTCTCCTCATGTAATTGCTGTAGCTTCACAGGACAGGTACACTTAACTGTTTAAAGAGAGAGCTGCTTATATTACACTCAACTATACCTGATACTGTTTGATCTTTGCTCCTCAAACTTGTTAATATCAATCAGAAAACAATTAAATTAAGAAGAAGAGGAAGCCTGTTTAGCATCCTTAGCTGCACTTTTTAAATACATTCTTACTTAATGCTCAAGCCAAACATACAGTATCATTCTGCACTTTATTGAAAGGGGTGTTGCTTTATAAAATATCATTTTGTTTGAAAACATAATGCAGTAAAAGTAGAAGAGGTTTCTGTGATGCCGGTGCAGATATATGACAACCTATATCTTCACATCCATACTGTTGCATGGTGCAGCTACAAGAAAAGGCCATTAGTATGAAGTGAGAGCATCTGAGAGCCTATATATAGGTGTTATATGTGATGGACATAGGGGCAGTAATTACCTCAATCTAGTTTAACCAAAATACAGCAATACTGAGCTGAAATTGGTTCCTAAAGACATTTAAATGGCTCAACTGTGCAGCTGCATACTTTTGTATTTTACAAGCCTGGTTATTTATAATTAATCTGGAACTGCACCAGGTTGTTTGCTTTATTAGATGTTTCTCTGTTTATTTGCACGCCTGAATTGTCTCTCTGTGTCCAAACTTCCCTTAAAAAATTGTCATCAAATACAATATGAAGTTATTGATGTTAAACATGAGCGTCTCTGACCAGTGTGTGCCTGACTGTGTGCGAGCGTATGAGTGTGCGTGTGGCCTTGGTCTCAGACCAAAGCCCTCCTACTATTGGCTGTGCTCATGCGTGCCAGTTTGAAGTAACTGTAGGCTGCTTTTAGCCCTAGATTAGCCATATTCATAGGCTTTGCTTGCAAACACGCCCCCTGCCTCCCGTCTGTCTGTCAGGTTCAACACCACTGCCTCTTTTTAACCCCTGCCACCATCCGCTGCACACTCCTCGCCTTTATTCTCGGGACAGCAGACCGGGGATTTTTAACTCTTAACTTCATTTAACCGGCTTGTGTGTGCGCGTGTGTGTGCTTTTTCTTCGGTGCATCGGCCAGATGGAGGACTACCATAAACCGGACCAGCAGACGGTGCAGGCGCTCAGGAACATCGCCACCCGGCTCCGGATCAACTCCATCAAGGCGACAACTGCAGCGGGCAGCGGGTAAGAGGAGGAAGATTACACCAAGATGGAGATATAGTGGTGTGATATAACAAGACAAAACAAGGTTACTGTCCTGTTCCAGCTGCTGTATGATTCATGCATGTGTTTGTTGAAAGGGCAAATTATAAAAAGTAGAAACACGGGCTGGAATTTACACAACATAAAGAGTGTTTCCTGATGGACTGACAGTCCGCTGCAGACTGTGTGCAGGAGGATCCGCGTTGTGCAGCCACAGATGCAAAATAACAGAATATGTGCGCCTTGTGTGACGTGCAAAACTGATGGACTTTTAATGTTCTTATCTGATTTTTACTGCGCGTTAAGTGGTTCTGTGCCAGCATGCACTGTGCGTAATTTACGCACTTCTCCAGAAATTAGTTGTTAGGTGCAAAGGGTCAGAGTTCGTTTACTTAACATATTTGCATATTTCACTACGAGTAGGTTAAGTTCATAAGTACAATGAATTCAATTAAATTATCAAATGTGTTTGTTTTGCGCTACCACCCCTTCAAATAATAAAACATTTATTAAAACGTGTCGGATTTGAAGGTTCGGCATAAATTGCTGCAGATGCACCAGTGCTCCTCTCTCCCTTAACCCTTTGCGTACTTTGGGATCGCTTATGTAATAGAGGAGGAGCAGAGACAGGGTCGGTGCATGATCTCGTGGGCCGACGTAGTGTGCAGCGGCTGCAGGATGGGACCGGGGGATGCACGGATGCGCTTCTGCTGCTCGGCCGCGCCTGCTTGCGTGCGCCGGTGCAGCTTGTCACACGCGTCAAATCGCTCAAATTTAAAAGGAAAAGTACATCCGGGCAAATTTTTCAAAATAACTTCCAAATTGACAAACTAGCTGCAACGTTTATGGGGTGACAGGAAATAAAAGCTTAAAATGTTAATAAATTATAGGATGCGTGAAACTGTAACTTCTGTTAGTCTTTTTCATCATCCATAGCGACTATCCCACTTGTCCAAGGTTAAAGAGTATTAACATTTAGTAGGTTAGTTAACATTAGACAGGCCTGTTTTGACTCTACATGTGTGTGTGTGTATATATATCAACTGTGTTTAGCTTCCTTTGGCATCATGGTTAGTTAGTAGATTTTCTCCAGGGATTGATATTGGCAACTGAGATCTAGGTAGGCTTCTTTTCTTTAAGTCATTTGAGACATTGTTTGAGTGAAGGGCAGTATAAATGAGTAGAGTGAGCTTATTCAAAGTCAAATCAAAAGATTTTTAATTCCAGTTTGATAACCGAAACATGCACAGCATAAACTGTAGCCATTTTTTACATTAACCCATGTTTTGTTAATTCAATTCTTCGATCACAGCCAGTGTTCACGTTGCAACGCCACTTTTCACCCTCTTATAAGAGCATCCCTCATCCCATAGAAATTTTATGATTATTCATCATCTCCTTCTGGTTTTTGCTTTTGCTCGTTTTTGATTATTTGATCACATTATCCATTACAGGAGTGCAAGGAAAAGGCCTTCATGGAGGAGGCCTGAGTGAGGTATTATTGGCATGTGGTTTGAAAATAAAGAGGATAACAGTCAGGACATAAGTCCTCATCATAACCTGTTTTGTGTTAAATTGTCTTGGCTTGTTCCAACAGTTTGGGACTACACACTGAACTATGTCTTTGTATGTGTATGTGTCTGCATGAATGAGAGAAAGTGTAAAACATCCTCTAAATGTATTTACACTGCATGTGTGTGTGTGTGTGTGTGTGTGTGTGTGTTTGAAGGCAACAGATAATGTATATGTAGTTACTGTCTGACCCTGACAAAGTCAGTCTCACTAGTGTACTGTCTGTCTTACATAATAACTCTCTGACTACAGCTGCTCTGGCATGAATTAATGCACTCCATTCAAGCTGACAAAGAGTTAAACTCCACTGATTGATTGCCACTTTGCCTCTCCCTTTTTTCTCCTTTCTGCATCTGTGTGTGGACAGTATGCTCTGAACATAGATTTGAACAGAGGATTCAGGAGGCACACCAAGTTTTCCTTTTGAATACTGTGTATCTAATTCCTCTTTCATCTTCATTTTTGTTGCAGTCATCCCTCATCATGTTGCAGCGCAGCAGAGATCATGTCTGTGCTGTTCTTTCATACCATGAAGTACCGACCTGAGGATCCCCGGAACCCCAACAATGATCGCTTCATCCTCTCCAAGGTAACACACATACACACACAGAGCTATATGTTGACAGGTGTTCTTCTGATGCATGCACAGACAAGATCTAAATAAACTGATTCACTAATCTTAAGGTGTCACATTAGAAAAATGTGTTTGTGTTTATAAGTTCACATGCATATTTCATGATTGTAGTGTTTCTATAAGGTGCCAATGGCTAACTCCAGACTTTGACATGCATGCCTCAAAATGAAATTTTATTCTTTGCTCTCTCACATTTCATTTAGCAGGAAATTCTTCATTCAGGTGTGCAGATGAAGTTACCCGAGAAGGAAAAGTATAAATTAAAGACTTAAAAAATAGGATCTCATAACATTGATGAGTGTTTTATAAGCCTATAAACAGTTCTAGCCCCAGCACAAGCAAATCAGTAAAGGCAGCAGTAGCTCAGTCCATGGAGACTTGGCATTGGAACCAGGGGTCAACAGTGTATGGAGCAGAGAGGTGCCACTTGAACCCCAATCTGCTCCAGGGGCACTGGACTATGCCTATTTTGTGGGTTAACAAATACGGAATTAAAAATAAAGTAAAATCAGGTATGAAGCATGTGATCTTAAACTCTAACCTTTGACCTCTGCCTCCTCAGGGTCATGCAGCCCCTGTGCTGTACGCCGTGTGGGCGGAGACGGGATACCTGAAGGAG